GGGGCACGGCACAATCTGGCCTGGGAGGGGTAGCCGGAGGGATAGGCTAGTTCTCTATACACCAGCCACATACCAGATGGGTTCTCCAAGTCTCTATGGCTTCTGTGACCTCATTACCCTTCCTCCTGCAAGGAAGACCCCAAAGTTCCCAGCCAGTAAAGAGCATGACTCGAGGAACTTGCATTAGATGTGCTGTAAATCTCTTGTTTCCACAGGCCAGACCTTGGAGGGGTGGTGAGGTGGCCTTGGGCTGCCCTCAGCGGCCGCTCCCTACATCCAGTCTTACTTAAAAAGAGGTCCTTGGAACTTGACCAGCAGCCTCAGCTTTACAAGCCTGGGTATGTACGTCTGGCGAATGTCCCGCCTTGGTGATGCTGCAGCTTTTCCTCTGCCGGTGGGCAGGCCGCCGGGGAGTGCAGGCTCTCCCGGGAGCCACTGTGCACAGGCCTCGCTGGAACTCCTGCCACCACCTGTCATCCTGTAGCTCTTTACAGTCCGCCCCGATGATGGAAACCATCCCTTCCCCTCCTCCCTTGGCTTTTCACCCAGTGCTCCCCTAAAAACCTTATCAACCGGGATACTCAAGAAGCCATCGTCCTCTCTCAGATCCTGACCAGATCACCAGCCACAGAGGCAAGTGGAATTTCCCCAGGTCTTATTAAAACAAAGAAAACATTGTGCTTCTCAGATTCCCCTTGGGGAAAAAATAATTCTGCTGTGAAGATGAAAATTAAAAGGGAGAAAAAATACTGGAAAACTATTTTTCCCCTCATATTTATTTCCCTTAGTGACTGCCAACTTAGAGTGCCGAGAGGGGGTATGATGACCGCTGTGGAGGCCCCCGAAGTCGCTCTCCCTGGAAGGTTTAGTGGGGGCATAGATGTATAGGGCAATCTCCAGCTAGCTCGGCAAGGTTCTCGGTCAAGAGCACAGAGATTCCTGTGTCTCCCCGGTGCTCCTACTGAGGCTGCCAGATGGAGACCAGAAAAGCCCTGCCGTGCCCAGGGGCTGGCCTGGTTTCTCTGCTCGGTCCATCCCTAATGGGTTGCCATTTTGGATGAAGGTGAAGGATGCTCAGAATTGGATACTGAGATGTATAGGAAAATGGTTACTTTTAAAAGTACGTGTGTGTGTGAGCATGTGCCCGCTGATAGGGTGGGTGACGCGAAAGGCGGCCTGAGGAACAAGGAAAGGAAACCTTGGAGAAGCTCGTGTCATTCTGCCCGGCCCTCCAGAAGCCTTACAGAGGGCTGAGCCTCGCCGTTTGCAGCCATCAGCCGAAATGGATCAGCATAAAGGTTGGGACAGAGGAGGGTGAAGGCTCCGAAGGAGGCTGAGCCTCTAGCCCACCTGCCCGTCTTCCAGCCCCTCTGCTGATATTTGGATGTTATTGGTGGGTGGAGAGGACAATGGTGGAGAGGTGGAGGGACCTGACTGGGACACCTTTTTATCTCTTGTCTGGCACTGGCATTAAGACTCTCCAAAATAAAACAAAACAAAACATAAGACTCTCCTTCCATCTCTGAAATCTGCTTGTCTTGTGAAATGAGTGTTCTTGAATTAGAAATGCTACGAGATCAGTTTTTGATGATGGGGCTTTCAGGAAAAAGAAAATACTATGTGTAGTCTGTCTTAATAAAGCCTGGCCCTGCCTTTATCTCTCCTTGTGTCTCTTCCCTACTGTGACTACAAGAGAAGGATGGCAGACATGGGGGGGGGGGCACTTGGACCCTACTCATCAGTCAGTCAGTAAGCAAAGAGCTTTAGAGTCAGACACGCAAGGGCTAACCCCCCAGCTGCTGCTTTACAGCTGCATTCCAGCAAGCAATTAAATCTCTGAGCCTTGGTTTCCCCATCTGTAAACTGAAGTTAGTAATAGCTACCTCATAGGGTTGTCAAGTGAGAAACTGTTTATAAAGAATTCAGCAGAGTGCCTGGGAAATAATAGTCTGCCAGTAAATGGTAATTGTTGTTCTTGTTGCTATTATTTTTAGTATTTTCATTATTATGTTGAATATTTTGTATTTGAAAATCTGGTATGTTAAGAGATGATTCCAGAGCTTCCTTTTGTGGACCTCACAATCTGCCCAAGGTGATCAGATTAACTCACATAGAGGAAACAATTAGAATAGAATTAAATGGGAATTCATTTATTATTAATTCTAAGAACTACAAGCCTCCAAAAAATGATGCCTATGAAGAAACTACATTGAAGAAGAGAGACCTTACCTGGGCCCTAAGGAGTAGCTAAGGCTTTAGAGAGGTAAAAAGCTCAAGGATGACTCTGTGAAATAGGTCTTGGTGTCCCCATTTTACAGACGTGGACACTGAGGTATAAGATTTCTTGATGGTGGGGCAGCTTTTCGCTGGCCCTTCTGAATGGGATCACATCTTTTTGAGAGGAGAAAGCATTCTCCCGTCCTTCACCAACAAATGGATGCCCTTTCCTAGAGAAAGAAACAAAGGCTAGGGAACCAGAAGTGTTCTCTGGACTCTAAGTCCCTCTTGTTTATCAGGGAAGGAAAGCTTTTTAAAGAGGGCTTGCAGAGAGAGCACAGAACACACCTGTGACGCCAGTGTTGACACTCGGGTGCACGTGGCCCCTGTCCAAGGGTAAGGTGCTCAGCCCAGAGATGCCTGACTAGTCTAACTGGAAGAAGCATCTGGGATCCGTATTTTTCCTCCCAGAAAAAAAGAAGTGCATCTCATGGTTTTATAAACATGGCTATTAGCATTTAACAGTTTCTATTGCACCCAGACTGCAAACGCCAAGGGACTCGTTTTATAGGAAGATTTTGACCTCGTGTACCTACTCTCATTTTCTCTTCCTTTCCTCCTCTAGTGGTTCACCAACAAAGACAGTAAGCTGGATAGTAATGTTGTGAACACACTCCAAGCTGTAGGCTCCTGCAGGCCCCTTTCCTTAATTTCCTTCCTCCGGTGCCAGATAAGACCAGAATTTCTATACTGATGTTTTATTCCTATGACTAAAGTGTTGAAGTGGTTACAATGTTAGTAACACTTCTAATAAGGCATCACACTGGGAGTGAATTTCAGATTTCTTCCTAATAGCAAATCTTGATAGCAGAGAAGAAACACACAAAAGAACAAAGGCACTAGGCACCTTGCAGGTGTCCTGAAGGATTGCTGTCGTGGGCCTGGGCATGAAGATAACTGGGCTGGGAAGCTGCTGACGATGAGCTGTCAGCCCACCTACAGGCCCTTGACAATAAGCAGAATTTACCAGAAATGTGTAAATAGAGTAGGATCAGTGGTTTTTACTCTTGTCGGTCACCTGGTGGTCAATAGTTTATTATTATTGTTTCAATTGGAAAAGAGAAAAATGTTCACTCGACAAACATTTATGAGCACCACTTTGGGCGAGGCACTGAATTAGGCTTTAGGAAGACAATTTTACAAAATAGATATGGTTCCTGCCTTCTGGAGCTTATAGTGTAATGGGTAAGACATGGTACCCCAAGTAAACAAACAAAATAATTACACATTGTGGTAAATGGCATGAAGGAAACAGAGAAGGGCTGCCAAGGTGGAAGAGGGACCTTTTTCAGATAGTGTGGGCAGAAGGTCCTTTCTGAGGCGGTAACATTGAGGCTGAGGCCTGACTGAGAAGAAGCCAGGCACCAATGTGTAGGAGAAGAACCCAGGTGGGCACCCATGTGTAGGTGGGCAACCCAAATTCCTCCCGGGAGCCCCAGAATACAGCTGTCCCTAACCTCAGCCTGGCCCAACGTTTTGAAAGACAAAAATGTCAAGCAGCACCTAGGTAACACCTAGAACAACACTGCTTGGCACCAACTGTTACAAAAAACAAACACTTCTTTCAGCAAAAGTCTTAAGGGACAGAGAAATAGTTTTACCTAGAGAAGCAAAAGGAGCACATCAAAGGTGTTGATTAAAAATAGTACATATTATATGTTAAGATTTTAAAGGTCCCATTTGATGTCACCATTATTTTCAGTACAGATTCTTGTAACAGGTCTGGGGCCTTTAAACTAGGGCTGCTTTCAGGATTTCAGGCTGAGAGGTGAAGTCTGTCTGAAGGAGCTAGAAAGAGCCAGCAGGGCGTGTTCCAGGGGAGCCTTGGCACCAGAGGAGCCAAAGCAGCAAGCAGTCTCCCTGGCTACTGTGGCTCAGAGGTTGGGCGTCTACCTGTGTGTTGAAAGGTTATGGGTTCGATTCCAGGTAGGGGCATGTAAGAGGCAACCAATGGATGCTTTGCTGTCACATTGATGTTTCTCTCTCTCTAAAAGTCAATAAAAAATCTTTTTAACGAATGGTTAAAATGGAGAATTTTTAAAAAATCTGCAAGAAATCAAGAGCACAGAGAAGAGGGGAAGAAGGTAAGAATGGAGCACATCTGCAGGGAAGCTGGACACAGAAGTTGTGAGAGACAGAGGTAGGCAGGCACTGTCCAGAACATCGCTCAGCTGCAGGCAGGGCCACAGCCACTGATCTGTATTTGGAGCTAGACCTCCAGACTCAGAGGAGGGAGTCTGACATGGGGAAAGCAGAACTTCATCCTAGAATTGGGCTACTAGGCAGGGCCCCAGGATGAAGTCTTAAACAGAGTAAAAGGTGGGGACCCATTCAGAATTACAGTGAGATGCTGATGAGTTATTGCTGGTGATATATGTAGGATGTAATAGATGCCTTCAGGCGTTGCGGGCATGGTGGAAAGTTGTTTCATGTCTTCATGGAACTTTTCTTTAAAGGGGTTAGAATATAACTTTGAGG